TTGTGATCTAACGAACCATATTATGGGTCAGGACAAAATTGTGCACTTGTGTGCAGGAGTCAAATTTAGGCTTTCATTCCAGTTGGACACTTGAATCCAAATAAAACAAACATAATTATAGGGAGAAAGAGTGCATTTTATAAAATTACTAAATTCGGAATCTAAATAATAAGGAAAAATTCTACTCCAAAAAAGTTTGTAGCTTCAAAAGTCAAAAGCAACTTTCTGAAGAATCAGCTTCAATTTCAGTTTTCGAAGCATGGAAGTTCCAAATGTAAAACCAAACATTTGGAGGTGTGAATCAAACATGAAGAAAACTGATACAAGTCAACAAGATAAGTAAAAAAAGACAGGACTCTTACCGATACTAATGAGGTGGACATTAGCGTCAGGGGAGTGAGGTATCTGGTCGGAATTCCCCCGACCAGGGACAGCAGACGGCAAGACGATTGATCGCGGCGGAGGTAGGTGAACGACGGGTTTCTTTCCTCCCGGAACGGACCCGTATGAACTGTTAGCAGATCATAGATTCTAATGTCAGATAATCAGATTTGAAGAAACAGTAAATTTTATCGTCAAAGGAACTCTGGGATCAAATATTTGGTTTATTACGAGTCGTCAGTTTTAGAAAATTTATATTGTGGGTCTTGAGTTTCATTTTCCAAGGAAAAAAGCTCCGGTGAAAAACAGGGCAATATTTGCCTAGTGAGATTTTGGGAAATCATGGGAAAAGCATGCAGAAAAACTTAATCAGCTTTTTCAGGGATGGGTTTTTGGTGGGTACATCGGGATTTGAAACATAAGAGGAAGGTAAGAAGGTCGCCGGCAAGCTGCTGCACCACAAGAATGCAGCGGTTCTGTTTCGTGACGGCCGGCGGGAGGTAAGAATTTGGTGGTGGCTTCAAAAATTACTGGTGATAGTATTGTTACTGGGACGGTTATAGTAGGTATGCCCTTAAATTTAATAAATCTGTGGCGGCTACGGCATGCTCCGATGACGGTTCGGAAAACAGGACAGGAGGCAAAAACAAGATTTGGGGGGTGGGGGTTGGAAAAAAATTCAAAAACAAGATTAAATATTGCAGGGGTTGAAAAAGTTTCTCTTTAACTTGTTACCTCTGAGCTCTTATGATTCTCGTTTTCTTCATTCCTCCCCTTGCTCTTCTCTATATTAAGAAGAAAACCCAAAACAATTACATGTACAGAAGCCTGAGGAGAATACACT